TATACCATTAGAACCGCCTCATCAAGACGAATCGAATGGCGGTAAGATCATCTCTCTACGATTAATATTGGCGAAGTTATGATACAATAAAGTTTTAAGTATAATTCTGGCTAAAATTATGTTAATTTTTGGCCGGAATTATGATATACAAATATAAGAAATTTTTTATATAGTCACATCTCTTTATAATCACCAAATATTCCCATGACCACGGAAATAAAAAGAATTTTACTGCGGACGCTACAACCAATAGCGTGAAGGTACAGGGATTAGTGTAGTTGGACTGCATCATGGTGAATTAGTGTGTACGGTTAGGCCGCACATTTCAACTAAGGGTCATGGTGTCCTTCTAACGTTCCCTATGAGGCCATTGGTATATGCGCAGTCCTGTCCTTGAGGTCACTACTATACCTTGGGGGGACTTACTATCCGGGTGGTCACTCCACGATACCGCTTGGGTCAGTAATGGCTAGATGGTCGTCCTAGATGGTAAAGCTGAGGGTGCAATGTCTTAGTGGTAGTTTGACCTTCTGTTAGGTCTTAGACCAACCACGGTGTTCGTGCACAGAACAGATAGCTTGGTGATTGGGTTCGATTCCCTTCTCTGATGGGCCCTGGTTGGTGATTCCTGGTGGTTGATACCCACCATAAGGGATGATCTTGGGTAACACCTACAAGCTTACTGTTCAGGTGGTCACTACAAAGTATACCACTTGGGGATTACAACTGTACTATCGGTGGTGGGTAATCGCGGGCTGTAGTGGCCTTGGAGTGAGACCTAGTACCTAATATGGTGGTATGGAAGGGGTCTAGATGTTTGAAAGTTATCTGGCGAAAGTCCTCCGTGACAGTAGTAGTGGTGAGGGGTTTATAATAGTAGCCATTACAGTATCATGCAACGGATTAAAGGACTAGTAGGGTGGTGTTCAGCAGATTCGAAGGCCTTCGGGTCCCTGGGATAAGTCCTTGCGTTCTGGTTGTGGTGTTGAATTGTCCCTGTTAAAAGGTGGCAGGGATGGTTACATCATGGCTTAGTGAGGATGATGCAATGAACGACCTACCTCCATAGCCTTCAATAGAGGGTGCGGAAAGTAGTGGCCACTAAACTTACAAAACACTTGTAAAACACTTGTAAAATAATCACCAAATATGAGGATCATTGCAACTCTTTCCTGAATTTTTGAAAATACTAATAAAAATTATTTTTGAAATTTTCGTTCGAAAATTTCTAAGTGCTCGTTCAACATACTAATATTTCCACAGTTGCTTTCCTCTTTACTGAGCTTTATACTATGACTACACCTCCAGCTCCTTCTGTTATTAACCCGGATATTCCGCCGCCACCGCTTCCTATTACTTCTACTCCCTCTGGAGACCGACCTTTGTCTCCCACGACTACCGCTGGCGCGCCTAATAAACGTTCACGTATTGTCACTGATGATGCTATGAATGTTGATATAACTTCGCCCTCTGCTCCTGCTCCCACCCTTACTTCTTCTGTTCCTTCTGGTCTTCCTGTCAACAAAGTCCAAGTGATTACCTCACCTCTTTCTACTACTACTCCTGTTGAAACTGTTGACGCTTCTATCCATGCTCCCTCTAACACCAATGGTAAAGGCAAAGCTGTCGTCTTTGATGTTCCAGAATGACGACCATCCCCTGATGGTAATGCCGCCGCTATAAAATCCACTCCATCTCGTTATTATGCTGCGGCATATTTACGCGACGCGCCTGACGCGTTCAAAGCTAAATTCACCACCAATCGCTCCATGTGTGACGAAGTGGATTGTTCACTCTCCCGTTACTCTTCTTATGGCGCTCGTGCATGTTGCGAAGGATCAGGCGATAACAAAAAGATCCTTGTCTTCTTTAATGATCAGCATGATTATACCGATTGTGTCAGTTTACCACGTGCAGATCTCCTCAATTTAGCCTTTATTCATTATTCCCCTGCAGATGCTAAACTCAATGACGAAGCGAAGTCTTTGTTTGTTACTGATATCCCACTTTTCCTTACCGAGACTCAAGTCCGTCAGGCCTTTTCCCGATATGGCACTGTAATCAAGTGCAAACTTACTCCTCGAAAACATTA